GCTGTCTTCTTGCTGAGGCCTCACATGGTCATTCGTCTATACTCACAGTCCCTTGGTGTCTCTCTGTGCATTCACATGTCCTTCTCTGTTGAGAATACTGGTCAGATTGGATTGGATTAGGGCTTTCCCTAAAGGGCTCATTTAAATTTAATCACATCTTCAAAGGCCCTGCTGCTCAATATATTTGAGACACTGGGGGTTAGGGTCATATATCAAAAGATAAATCTGGGGGAGGCACAGTTCAGACCATGACAAATGATAAGCAGGGCAATGAAGAAACATAGAGCATAGAGGTGGCTAGAGGTGCGCAGATTAGAGACCCATTTAGGAGGCAGAGCCAACTGGTCTCATCTGATGAATTGGATTAGGAGTCAGGCCTCAGACATGGCGCACTCACAGATTTCTAGCTTAAGCAAGGTGGTGCGAGCTGGGGAAGAACTGAGCAGGCTGCCTTGTGAGGAGCCAGCTATGGGCCCCAGGGGCTGCTTTCAGGGATTACCTGTTATGCAACTGGATAGTAGCTTCTGAACTCCCCTTTAGACTAATGGTGCTTTTCCCCAACCTCCAGTCTTAGAATTTATGACTTCGCTCATAGATGGTTAAAAATTTAACTATATTGAAATGTATGCATTCAATTCAAAAAAGCCTGTGGACATAAAGTCTTTTTAATTCTCCCCTTCTGTCCTCTAAAACATATTTTCTATTAATATATGGTCAGAGTTTATCAATAAGTGATTCCACTAAATATTCCAAAAGTTCCAGGGAGCGAGTGACTGATTTGCAATTGTATCTTCCATTGATTGGCACTGAAATTAGAACTGTAGATAATCGCCTCCAAGCTCCCAAAACAGTAAGCAAAAGACAGGCGTAATACTCAAAGGAAATTATTTTCTCTTACAAGTGGAAACCTCTCATCTATATTTTATAGCCCATTTAACATTTTTGTGTTATTCTAAAAGTATTCTAGCCTTAGTTACCCTCTGCTGCTGTTTCTCAGTGTTAGCCATTAGCAGGGCCAAGGCAGTTATAACTGTGTGCCATAAATGTCAGTATGATTTTTCCAGTCTGTTTCAAAGTTTCTAGCTTCTAAGTTGACTTTTCTTTCCCCCTCACAATCTTGTGGGGCCATGTCCCTGAGCCCACAGTGTCTGCGGCATGTTTCTAATGTGTGTACTGGGCTTTCTCCACAATTGTGTGGCTTCCTACTGAGCACTGACAGGTTTAAAGAGCAAGATAAAGGGCACAATAATATGTCTTCAGATGCTGCACTGACATCTGCAGGAGTCTAAATGTCACCAACGTCAAGGCGTTTTTGCCCCAGATGCACAGCCAGTCTTCTGTTAAGCCCATTCAGTGGCACCCAATCTGGGCAGAATTGGGTCTTAGTGCGGAGTGAGTAGGAAATGCTTAGAACCACGAGCTGATGGCTGACCTGGGTACAAAGGTCAACCATGTTTGGCTGAAGGTGAGTGAGTTGAAGCTCGTGGAGTATAAGTTCTCTCCCAGAGCAGCAGATGCTGGGGGAAGGCGACAGTTGGGAGAGCCTGTGGCTGATGGGCAGGCTGTGTGAGGGCATGGAAGAAGGAGGGTCAGAGAGGCCAGGAACACAGGGAAGAGGACTGAACAGGTCCTCCACATAAGCACAGTCCCCAGAGAGCACTGCCTGTCATGAGCCAAGGATGACCCAGAGCCCCAAGGAGCAGAGACAAGGGTCCTGAGCAAGAAGAGAGTGGTCTAGATCAGCTCCTGTGCTGGGAACTGCAATTGGGGCTGGCCTTCATGTGATGCCCACAGCGTACTGCATGGAGTGGTGGGGGCATTCCTGCACGTATGGGGCTGGATCAGGTGAGACTGGCTAGTGGAAATTGTTGCAGTTGACTTACATAGGAGCTACATATCAGAGACCGCAGATTGATAGAGCCTGCCTGCCCACATGTTTTGTTAATCCTGTATTGTGTTTTAATAACATGTTGAGTTTAGAGTGAGAGACTTCATGTAAAGTCTGGATTTCTTACTGGCCTTGAGAAATCAGATGTTTGACACCCCTATACAAAGTATGAATGCCTGGCCTACCTCTGCTGAATTTAGGTAGGAACTGCGTCCTTTCAGTGGGACGCAGAGTCTCTCTCCATTTCCCTCCAGTCCTCACCACTGCTATTGTCTCCCCAGTGCTAAGGCTACTGGTGGATGCCAGTTGTTATTGTGCTTGCAACATTGCTTTTCTTATATAAATAAATGTTTATTTTTCTCAAGTCTCTATCCAAAGTGGGAAAATAAAAGGTGGGGCAAGGAAGTGGTATTTTTGTTCTGTTTTACAGCTGAACAACTTTATCAATTTACATAACTGGCTCTTGTAGGTGCATGCGTTCATAATCTCTGCGGTAAATCGCCAGTATTTGCCCAGAATATTCACACTAGGAGGCATTAAACATCTAAACTCTCTACCACTGAACCTAGAAGGGAGGGAAGAAGAGGAATTGAAGATGAAAGAATCAAGGTGAAAGGTCTGTTGCTAAGAAGGAGGAAGTGGAGAGGAGTCAGAGGCATGCTGGGGACATTGATCCAGAGAAGATTCATTGCTAATTGTACATATCCCAGAGGTTAAACCATTTTCTCGAAAGGTAAGGGAAGAGCGTTTCTTTGTAAAACCAAACACAGAGTTTCCCAGCATTGGAGCTAAGACTCTGCACTCCCTTCCCACTTGGGGTGGATGTGTTCACTCCCCCTTTAAACCTGTGGTATGAACAGACTTACAAGGTTCACTATATTTCCACTTCAAGAATTGACTTGAACTGATAGTTCCAAAAATAACTTTATAAAATTGTACAGGAGAGCCAAAAGGAAACAATTTCAGACAATTGAAGCAGCATGGCGTTTGTCAAGTTGACTAGATGCAGGAATTTTCAACTCTGAAAAGCCCATAGAAGTGGTTTTCCCTGGGCCTTGGGTCCTTGACACCACGCCAGCCAGGGTGGTTCAAAGGTAGCCTGAGGGATATCTGAGCTGCTGTCATTAGTTTAAAAACCTGAGCAAAAGTACATTGGGGAAATGGGGATACTGCCCACTTCCTGGATTTTTCTGAGGGTTTCCGTGAGATGCGACGTGTCAAGTTCTTCGAACAGTATCAGAGTCATCCTAAGTGATACACGAACTCTTCACTGAGCCAGGCCACTTCTCAAGCACCAATTCCACCCTGCCCAGTGCACTCCCAAGAAGTCTGCCTAATTGTTCCAAGATTCTTGGCTTTTGCTGAGCTTTATAGGTGCTGACACAGATAGGTAGACCAAATAGTTCAAATCAAGGAAAAATAGCAAGGAAAGGGGTCACTTTTAATAAAATATTTGGGAGCATGGAAAGAAACCTGAACCAGCAGCACAGCCCTGACTGGGAGCCCCTTCTGCAGACCCTGGAGTCTATCTGGAGACACCATCCTCATTCCCAGTGCCCAGGAGGCAAGGGAGCATAGCTGCTTGTTAAATGCTGAGTCTGGGGCTAAAGTGGACCTGGATTCAATTCTGTTTCTGTCTTTCACTAGTGCTGTGTAGCTTTTTCAGCACATTAAACTTGCTGAGCTTTGATTTCTGCCTAACAGGGAAATCATAATAGTGTCTGCTTTATAGGAACGTCATGAAGTTAAGTTAGATAGAGCATGCAAAGCATTTATCATAGTACCTGGCATTGTAGGAGCTCTCAGTAAATGACATTATTGTTACTATTTGTCTCTGTGTATTTGACTCCCTCTAGAAAGATGGCCAAAGCCTCCTGTTAAACCTCCTTGATCCTCTCCTAACTCTCCATTTGTTTCCATTCTGGGGGTGGTCCCAGTTCATCACTGATTTGATTGATGGCATAGAGGTTCTTCATTGTGCCTCAGTGAGGAAACCAATCCTTCTAGATACAAGTTATCAGCCAATGGAGAGCTGTTACTTATGTTATTATTTGTAGAATGCAGGTAGGTGAGAACCCTTCTCCACAAAAAAGGAAAGAGATGGACCTAGGTTACTCAATATAAAATGTAGACTTAATACGAAGAGTGGCTGCTTGTACACACTCTGATTTTCATTTGAAAGACCTTTTCCCTGTTATGTCCAGTCCCTAGAATCAATGCTCCCTCTCATGCTCAGAAATCACCATCACAGAGTAAGACTCTGGGGTCTTGTGACATTGGGCACATTTCTAGAGTTCTCTGTGCCTCCGTTCATTCACTGTGAAATAGAGAAAATAACACTACTGACTGCATTGGGTTAGGTGAGTTACTGCAGAGAGACACTTCATGTGGTACTTATCACATAGCAAGCGCTAAGAATGACAGCTACTAGTGCTTTCCTTCTCTTTTCCTCCCTCTTCCATTCTTTGTCTTCCTCATCATCATCCTCATCAGCATCGTCACCCAGGCCAAGCGTACAGGTATCAGGCCCAAAGGTGCTTCGCTACAGCTTTCTTTTTTTTGCTTCTTGATGTTACAGGGAAGCATCACCTATCATGAATATCTACACTCCTCCTGCCCCCCAATTTTTCTTCTAACTTTCACTGTCGTAGTTTCACCTTTTGTGCAATGCCAGCCCCAGAAGAATGATCAGTTTGGGTGTATTCTAGGCATGTTTGTGCCAATTTCACAGAGCAACATTGCATAGCAGCTAGTAATAGGACACAGAGATCTAAATTCACATCCTGATTCCCTCACCCTCTGGATGTGTGTCTGTGCCAAATGATGATGTAAACCCTCAGAGCCTTGACTTTCTGATCTGTGAAATGGTGATACTGTCCCCTTCATGGATTTTTGTGAGGTTTCAGTGAGATACTGTGTGTAAAGTTCGAACAGTGCCAGACTCATAATAAGCAATCAATGAACTCTTTGCTGAGCTGGGCCACTTCTCCAGTCCCAATTCCACCCTGCCCGGTGCCCATCCTGAGCTGCCATCCACCAACAGGGAAGTGGTGCAGGCTGCTGAATCTCATTCTTATGTGTTCTTTGGTTTCTCTCTTAGGAAAAGCACCTCATTTTCTGCGACTGCAAAACGTGGAGGTGAATGTGGGGCAGAATGCCACATTTCAGTGCATTGCTGGTGGGAAGTGGTCTCAGCATGACAAGCTTTGGCTCCAGGTAAGCATGACAGAAGCCTCTGCTCAGACTTGTTAGGATGAGAAAGGGAAAAGAAGGAATGGAAGGAAGCAGCTCTATGGCAACACAAGTGTATTGAACAAAGACCTGCGGAGGGGGACACCAGCTAGCACTGGAGCCAGCCCCTGCTTACCAACTGGGGTAATTTTAGGTCCAGGTGGGAGAGGTCTGGGCTTGTGAGATGGGGTGGGTGGTGTGGTCAGCTGCTGATAAGCAAGGAGTTTCCTGGGGTCAGGCGGTTAAGTCTGGGACTTGTCTGGCGGGATGTGTCTCATGGCCTGAGCCCCAGTGGAATTTTCTGCTCTAACCAGCATTTGTAAAATGGCAGAGGTTTACAAAATGGGGCAGCTTGGGCTAACAATGCTGCCTTCTCCCTTGATAAGGGAAGAAAGTGTGTGCTGTGGTGAAGGGTTTGCTGTGTAAGGGGAAGGGATATTTTTAAAGTACTTCTGTTCCTTTGATGGTGCCCTGCATCTATGATCTTGTTAAATCTTAACTGCAATTCTGCAAGGCGGGCGTTGGTATAACCATTTCATACATGCAGAAACCGAGACCAAAACCTCAAAGTTCTATAACTGGAATTTGTAACTGTGACCTTTTCCAACTACCCTCTAACAAACTTTGTCTTTTAATTGTAGATTACTAGGGCTAAGGCAAACGGAATATCTTAGGTTCTGAATATGTGGTTGTCATGTAATCTTAACTGGAAGGTTCTTGGATATCCAGTGATTGACTAGTACATCTGGATAAAATTAGAGAGTTGCTCTTTATGGGAATTTTTCACGAAAATGAGCAATCTGTCTGTTCTTTGGTTAAATAAGTCCATTAGTAAAGTCCATCAGGGAAGTGTTTTAAGCTTGAATTTGCCTTCCTGTTATTTCTGCTAATTCATGCTACTTTCCAAGAAAGATGAGAAAGGATCTCTGAGTGGGAGTTAGAGACAGAGGGCGACACACAGAACTAAAACATAACTTGTTAGAACATTAGCATACTTGTATTAATACCAACACAAATAGCAAGTTTTTGGAGCAGCACAGAAGTGGGAGCTGTGCTGTTTGGTGCAGGAACCACTAACTACATGTGGCTGTGGTTATTTAACATTAAAAAAATTATTTCTATACAAAAATTCGCTGGTCGTGGTGGCGAGTGCCTGTAATCCCGGCTACTTGGGAGGCTGAGGCAGGAGAATCACTTGAACCTGGGAGGTGGAGGTTGCAATGAGCTGAGATCGCACCAGTGCACTCCAGCATGGGCAACAGAGCAAAACTCCTTCTCAAAAAAAAAAAAAAAAATTCTAAATAGCTTTATTGAGTTATAACTGAGATATGATGTTTAAAGTATACAGTTTTAATATGTTTATGTGTGAAAGTATTACCACAATCAAGATATTGATGTACGCATGACATCCAAAATTCCGTTCCCATGTATAATCACTTCCTTCTGACCTCCCCACTCCCATCTGTCACAGGCAACCACCAATCTGCTTGCTGACAATACGTATTAGCTTGTATGTTCTAGAATTTCATATAAATGGAAGCATGCAGTGTGTATCTTCTTTCCTACAACATACTTATGTTGTTGTGTGTAACAATTTATTATTTTTTGCTAAGAAGTATTTCATAGAATGGATGTGCTACTATTTGTTTACCCATCTACCTGTTGATGGATACCTGTTGGGTTGTTGGCAGTTTCTGGCTGTTACAAAGAAGTTGCTGTGAGCATGCATGTGTGAGTCTTCATACGGGCATGTTCTTTCATTTCTCTTGGGTATGAAAGTGAATTAGAAGTGGAATGGCAGGGTCATCTGGTAGATATATGTTTAACTTTAAAGAACAACGAGCTGTTTGAAAAAATGGTTGTACCATTTTACGTTCCTACCAGCAGTCTCTGAAAGTTCTAGTTGCTCCATATCCTCACCAGCACTCAATATGGTCAGTCTTTTTAATTTTAGCATTTGAATAGGTGTGTAATGGGAGCACATTGTAGTTTTAATTTACATTTCTTTGAGGACTGATGATACCAAACATATTTTCATGTATTGTTTTGCCTAGCTGTCTCTCCACACACTTTGCTGGAAGTTCATGTTGTCACTTCTCTTCTTGAATTTAAGCCATTTCCTGCAGTTAGAAAATCCTTGGGCTTAAAGAGCCCATCTAGGGGCCAACAGTTCATCCTTGCCACTTAGCAGCACTGCAGGGTGAAATACCTGTTCTTTCTGCTTCCCAAGGTTGCTTGCAGACCACAGGAGAGCACAAGAAGCCTCCACATGTCACGTCAGTATTCGGTAGTGTTATTTACTCTTTTCATAACAATTAGTGTTCAGATGTATTAGGCTGCCAAGAAGCTGTGTGATTTCAATGGCATTGCCTCAGGTGGGTCATGAGAATGAGGCAGGACCATCACAATATTTTCAACAACTTTGTTTGGGTTTTCCAATTATCTTCTGATTGTTATTGTGGCAGTTCTGAGTTGCATGCCCTGAACCTTGGGTCTGTCAGTGGGAGGATGTTAAAGGAGATCATAATTGAATATTTGAAGAAAACAGATGGAAACACATGACATGGAGCTCTTCCACGTCTTATCTTCTTGTCAGTGTAAACCAAATCTTATTTCACAAAACGTCTTCCAGGTGTCTTTCAATGGGACATAAAACATGACAAGATATCATAAATTAAAAGTGAGGCAACACCAGATAGAAGGAAAAAATACACAGAGCTGGTAATAATGCAAAAACCGCATTTCTGCACACCTGTTACTAACTGGCGGGTCACACACACAGCCTGCAGCTTTGTAACCACTAGTGGAATAAAGGAAACTCGTCAGATACACAGTTCACAATGTCTGTGAGATTAAAAAAAAGCAATTGCTCAGGAAAATTCTACCTGTTGTTCACACAGAAGCCAGACGGGAATTGTTCCCAGGAGTCCCTGTAAAGAAAACACTGTATGATGCAATGAACAGTTTTCCCCACCACAGTCTTACTGAGGTCACACAAGTGAGTTTCACAGGCCTGTTTCTTATGACGGCTGTGAGAAAGCAGTCTGGGGAGGAGAAGGCGGAGAGAGGGATGAAGTGGACAAGAAGATATGGCAGCATCCGCTGCTGTCTGCCAATCTGTCTCCATCCTGGGGCACTTGAAACGTATCTGGGAAGTGAATAGATTCAATAACGATTTTTCCAAGGAAACTTCCCTAAATATTGTCTCTCTCATCTACATTTCAGAAAATATGGGGAGGTACACAGTTTATGTTGTGCTCTCTGACAAATACCTATGTGGCTAGGTAAGTCCAGGCTTATGTGCAGTAGGGTAATTGGAAGTAGATTATATTAGTCAGGGTTCTCCAGAGAAGCTGTGTGTGTGTGTGTGTGTGTGTGTGTGT